GAATATTACTGACCCCATCAGTTTATGCAAGAGAAACATCTATTTCTAAATGTCTACAGCTGTCTAATGGTGCTTGACTTTAAACAACAGCATGCTCCCGTGCTAAGCCCATGATATGCCCAGAAGAGGCAGCACATTAGTTGGACCTGGCCACCCAACATTTTATAGATTGGGTTCTCTAGTGGGGCTTTTTTGAGTGCTTTTATCTAATAGCTGATTGACTCAAAAAGCCGCGCTGAAGTGCCCAATCTATACAGACCCTGCAGAGCCAAGTCAAAGTAATGCGCTATTGCTTCTGATAAAGCGCGTTTCTTTTTTCCCTCCCATGTCTGCCAGCACCCCTAAAGGGCTATATTTTTTTAGTCAGAAGGGATTATGATAATCTAATATGCTCCCCCCTGCAGGACACAGGTCAAAAACCCTCACTGAATATTTTCTGGGCAAACCCATAATTACAATTTCAGCTGAAGTATATCTATGGGAAATATATCTAATCTTCATTTAAAAACCTCAAGTATTGAAGAATGCACTACACCCCTAGGTAAGTTGTTCCAGTGGTAAATTACCCTTGCTGTTAGTAGAATTTTAGTGCTTTTTGGGTCTGAATGTGTTTGACTTCACTTTCAAACATGAGATCTTGTTATGGGCATTTATGTTAAATTAGACAGCTCTAGTGTCAGAAATCTCAACTCCATCCCTGTTGGTACTTGCAGATCTGGTTGATGCTTAACTTTCAGTTGGATAAACCACAGAAAGTTTCTTTACTTTCATGCAGTGAGGTTGTTCTTTTTTCAGATTTCTAGTCTTTTTTAAAACTCGTTTCTGAATCCTTTCAATGTTTTCACCATCATTTTTGAAGTATGGCTGCCAAAACAAAGTAGTTCCACTAAAAGGCACACTAATACTGAATGCAGAGGTTACAGTTCCCTACCTTTACTTGTTATTCCCCTTCTTATATGTCCAAGAACTGCTTTGAATCTCTTAACTATGGCATCACCGTGGGAGTTCATATTCACTTGGTTATCTACTGTGACCCTTTAAGTCCTTTTCAAAGTCATTGTTTCCCACAATGCAGTCCCATGTCTTACAAGGGTGCCCTACAATTTTATTCCTAGATGTATGAACTTGTATTCAGCTGTACTAAAATATGTTATTCAAATGAGTCCACATTACCAAGCCTGATTATTCTCTATTGCTGACCTTTCTCCACCAATCCAGCAATTTCCTTTTCATCTTCAAATTTGATGAGCCAGGATTTTCTTCTAGATCATTAATAAACATATTGAATAGCATTGGACCAGGAATTTATCCCTACACAAGATCCCTTCCCTCCCCTACCTCCTCCCTACCTGTAATCTTGGATTACAATTCCCCATTCACAATTACTTTTTGTGATCTATCAGTTAACCAGCTTTTTATCCATTTTATCCAAATGAGCAGTCCAGACTTGAAGTTTTAAAAATTAATCAGGATAGACTGAAACAAACATTATTTTACGACATAAAATACAAGAATCAAGTTTTCCAGACTTGTTAGCAATTGCTTTGGTTTTGCCTTGAGCTGTTTTGCAGCAGTTAAGAAAAGGCATTAGCAGATTCACCCCTGGAGTGAGGTACTTTCTGTTCCCATAAACAAGAATAAGTCTTTTGTGTGCTGAAGGTAGTGGGAGTTATCCTCAGAAGACTGTTAAAATGCAGAGAGATCTGGTGACAGCACTTATTAGAATTAAGGGCTTAGTAAGAATGGGAAAGGGTAGAAGTTTGCACTTGAAACAATGGTGATTCATAGGGAGAGCCAGGGCTGCCACTTGAACTCTGAGGAAATTACCCCTCAATTCATGTGTATTCACATGTAAAAACCTCAGCTATCCACAGCCAGTTGTGAATTTGACCCATTGTAAAAGGTCACCTTTTTTGCAGAAAGACAGATTTGGGGCTGTAGGGTGGCAATTTATACCTGAGGAAACTCACTTTTGTTTTCACAAAGACCAGCCTGAAATCCGAAGAGGTTGCAAAAATAGTTTGCATTTCCAAAAAACTCTTTACCTGTAATTTTTTTTTACCATTAATGAGAATTTTTATTACATGGACCTAAATGGGCTATGCACATGGAAAGTAAGAGTGATACAGAGAATGTTTCAGTCCATTTTTTTCTCTATAGGATCTAGCAGCTCAGATTTTGATTTATTAGTTTCAGGGTACAGAAAAGCTAAAAGTTGTTCCATCAGATGGTGGATGGCTAAGAAACACACTAAGACCCTTTCTGCAAGATCATAAAAAGCATCACAGTACTATTTAGCTGTTCATAAGGGTTCTTTTTAATTTTGAATAGCAGGGGAGGCATCATTGCTTTCTTGAACTGACCCTCTCACTTTTAAGCCACATAACTTGACCTACGGTATTGAGACAAAGTCAATTAATTTTTCAAAATTAAAATCAACAGACCCAGCCTCATAGATCAGGTAAAGAACCTACAGATATAGGTGAACAGATGTTGAAAGCATTGTATGAAGATCAAAGAGCTAAAGGGGTCTTTTATATCTTTCACTGTTCAGACGCAACTTCATTATCTAAGGGTAGAAACAGACAACGCCTTTGTGCCACCATAACATTTTTTATGGCATCACAAAGGCCAAGCAAACAGACATTTGTACCCCTTGTTGCACCACAAATGCCCCAAATTTATGACCATCACAAAGGCGGTAATTATTTCTGCTGCTGTATTGGGTCAAACGTCTGTTTGCTTTGTGGCATGCGAGCACCGGTAGCCCAGAGGTACCTGCACTCTCCAGCCACCCCAGGCAGGCACTCCCAGGGCTTGCAGGGCCTGATCCTGTGTGCCCCAGGAATTCCCATGCAGGATTAGGCTCCTCAAGCCCCAGGGGTACCTGCCTGGCTTTCCCCTCTTACTGAGACATATGCCAGGCAACCTCCAAGGCATGTCTTTATAAGCAGAGAAAGCTGAGGTTCCCCACTATAGCGATGCACCCCTTGGCCTTTGTGGTGGCCACAAATCCCACCACAACTAGTCCACTTCATTTGGTGACTTTTGTTTATAGCCTAACAGAATCTTGTCTTTTCCAAAGAAAGTAATATTAGCTGGTCTGATAAGTTTATATTTTATCCATTTCTCTATTGAGCAAGAATGCAAGTGTTAAAGTAGTTTAGGGTAGTTTTAAGGGGATGGACTCTTTCAAATAGGAAGTCCTCTAGCCAGGGTGCACTGATACTGTGCACCCTGATTTCAGGTTTAGCATTTCAGATGTATATCCTGATTTGCTAAAGTGGATGATAGTATGAAGAGAAGCACAAATCAGAACTTATTTCTGCACTGTTACTTTTATAATCTACATTTTAACACAGTTTTATACATAAAAGTATTTCTCTCAAGCAGCATAGCTATAAACTTTGAGTGGCACACTGCACTTAGTAGACTGCTGGGAGGTCTGTGTAAACAATAATAATTCATGTCAGAATTTATATGTTGAGGGTCATTGTGCTTTTAGTGCAACTATGTTAATAGTTTGGCTTTTTATTATTAGGTAATATAGTAACACTATTTTCTTACTAGTGATATGGTAGCTGTATATCAAACTCAGATGCATCTGGAAAAAATAGAGCTGTGGCATATGAAGATTTTGAACTAGCTTATTGATATGACAGCACAACAGGAAAGGCTTTCTGTTGTAATTAGATATTGTAACACATTATACTGGATGTTCCAATGTATATTAAAACTGTATACGTATGCGTTAGGCCTTGTAGTAAAGGTGAGATATAGTAAAAGATATGCTAAATGCCTCATTAGAACAAAGCATAACCACCTTCTATAACCAACTCTGTTTCAACAGATGAATGAAGCATAGATTGAATGTGAATGAAGGACAGAAGGGGACAAACAAACAGTCCCTATAGAAGTTTGGAATCTCAGTCCCTGGAAATGTTCAAGAACAGGTTAGACAGACACTTGATTGGGATAGTTTACTCAGGGATGATCCTGCCGTGAACTAGATGACTTTGTGAGGTTGCTTCCAGCCCTACTTTTCTATGGTCCTACTCAAGTGTTTGGAACGGGATTTCCATTTTCTTTACTTGATTGTGTCGGAGCCGAGGGTGGTCTAAGGCTATGGCCAGCAGCCCGGACCGTCAGGTGGGGTTTTTCCACGACGGAGTAGAGTTAGGCACGGAAGCGTATTGGTTGTACAAAGAAAGCTTTACTTACACTGCCGATGGTCACAGTGCAGGATGGAAACTTGCTTGAGTTACAGTTGCACACAAACAAACAGAAGTGAGATCTCTTCCGAACCGAACCGAGATGAGTCGTCGATATACGACTCTGCACGCTGAACACGGGGGATATGTCAAATTTTCCACTATGACGGGGAGTGGCTAGAAGCTGATCAGGCCTCTATGTCCTCCTCCAAGACACACGCGGAGTTTGCTAGGCTCCACAGCGCGCTTAGAGTTCCCCACGAGATGGTTGTGGAGTCCTCCAACTTGGGCGGAAACTGCTCTAACCTTTTATACGGCTAGCAAGCCAATTGCTAGCCGCCACGTAGGAATAATTTAGAATTGACCAATAGTGGGACACTAATTTGCATACGCGTAGCAGGAGCTCTTTGCACCGGGGTTTTCTCTCTGCAGCTGAGAAACCCACCGTGCAAAGAAAGCTTCGTGTGGCGGGAAAATTCCAATGTGCCGAGGCACTAAAAATCATTGGGTTATGACAGATTGCACAGACACATATGCATTAGAGGTCTGCAAACTCCAGTTTGACTAGTTTTGCTTTCCTATTTCTGCTCCTACCACAAACTGCCTTATCTTTTTTGGCGTGCTTCTTCTTTGCATAGCTTCCTAACATAGATCTGCATCATTTGACACCTGCTTTTTATCCAAGATCAACTGTTGACTCAGTCTTATGGCAGAAAGTCTCACAAACATCTCAAGCTGTCATTTGCATGGAATCACTATATCTCTGAAAATTACGGATGAACAACTTACAAGTTTGAAGCCATGACCAACAGTGGATTGTCAGCCAGTCAGTGAGGTAACAAGGCGCTGTCTGCATGTTTGGTATTTTCCAACAATTTCAATGGATTAGTGCAGTGCTCAACACAGCATATGGAGGTGGTAAATGAAGACCTGTCTGGTCTTATGCTGGGGAGTTTACTTTTTCCACCTGAGAGAAACTGAACAGGTGAGAAAAGAACAGAAGGGCAAAATTAGACAATGAACTCTTTTTTCAAAAAGGACCAAAAAATGCATCTGACTAAATCTGACAAATAAAATACACGAAGGCCTAAATATTCAAAGAGACAAGTGATTCTGATTAGCTTAGATTTTGAATGACAACCTTAAAGCTGTTCAAAAGATCCTGATTTTCAGAAACTACCAAACACGCACTCTTGAAAAAACGGGTCTCTTTAAGGTGTCATGAGCTGGGCCTCCAAAGTTACTAACCCCTTTTGAATATGAAGCAATAAATTATTTTCCATGTAAGCAACTGCTCTAATTGCTGAAAGACATTATATCTGTGTGAATTTCTCTGCGGCCTGCTCTGCACTTAAAAGTTTTATTGGCACAGCTATGTTGATTAGGGGCGTGATTATTTTTTTACCATTATAGCTATGCTAGTAAAAGCTCTAGAGTAGATGCAATTATATTAATATAATTGTGATTACAGCCATATAAGTACATGCCAATCATGGGAGCCAATATCAAATCCTATTCATTCTCATAGTCACTTTCAATCTAGAATGATCAGACATAACTCACAAATGAGGCAGCTGAGCAAAGGTTGTTACGCGGACCTTCTGCAAAGACTCCCTTATCTTGATCCCCCCTGCTAGGTGAAATCTATCTCGCTGCCCAGCCGTAAGATGTAAATGATGCTTAGTAGTAGGCATCTGTCTCAGGAGACAACAGAATTACACTGAGTGGGACATCGGCTTGCTGAATGTAATCCTCGCTTGAAAGATAAAGAGAAGCTGGAGTAACCTCTCCAGGGTACAAAAGCCTGGGCAGTGTATACAGAGGCAGTTTCCCCACGCACCTCTCTTGGCCTTGCTGCTTTAATCCAAAGGAAAGGCAGGTGCCAGGATGTTTGGACCCAGCTTGGCTGCAGGAGCTCCTGGAGCAAAGGAAGTAGAGTTGGGCTCCTGAACCCGAGTCAGCAGCCAGTCCAGGAGTGGAGCCCCAGTAGATAGGCACTGTCATTTATTTATTTCTTATTTATAAAAATAACCTAACACTTCAGCCTAAAGTTAAAAGCGAACTTTCTAATGTTCCTAATCTGCAGAGATCATGCAAACTCTTTAAATCAAGGCTGTACCTCTTTTCCTAAGTTATGTTGCAACTTACATAGAATGGGGGCCTTAATATGACAATTATTTGGTGAGGTTGTCTGGCTAGTCCCACAAGAGGTTGGACAAAGTAATAGTAATGACCTGTCTAGCATTAAAGTCTCTGAGTCTGTAGCAGACTGAATTTTAACTTTAAATGAATGATTATACTGATGGGTCATTTCAATGCTAAGGTGCTTGCTTAATAGCTGATGGATTTCACATATCCCTGTGGACATCTTCCAAGTCTCAAATTTCAATGGGGAAAGGCAGACTCATCCTCTGCTTATGTGGAAGTAAACAATGGGGGGCTGGTCTGCCCCAGCAGAGCTGTTAACCAATCAAAGTACTTAATGGGGAAAAAAGAAGCTTTCGGAGCATTTCACTCATTTTTGGGGCCAAGTTCATCAATGGACTTGTTCATGAGGTAAAAGAAGTTACAGCAAGAATGATGTAGTGCGTTCAGTGTATTTCTTGTGCAGGATTTGAATTCTTTAAAGATATTAGAGCGCTGTTATAGCCATGATGGTCCAGGAATTATGCGAGAGGCAAGGACATTCTGGGGAGATATCTTTTATTGAACTAACTTCCTAGCTGCGATAAAGTTAGACAAGCTTTTGAATGCAAGGTATTCTTCTTCAGGTCACCTAAATACCTGAAGAAGTAGTTTCAGGTCACACGAAGAAGAATGCCTTACATTCAAAAGCTTGTCTAACTTTATCCCAACTATGGAGTAGATGCAATAAAAGACATTCCCCCCAAATCCTTGCCTCCCTCTAAAGACATTAAATATTACCACTCTCATCTTAAATTTATTCCTCCCCCACTACTTCCTGCGCCTACAGGTCTCACTTCATTAAATGTCCCTTCCTAACCTCACACATCATTTTCTGCTTCCCTAACTTTGTTTCTTTCATTGCTTCCATAGGAAACTCCTTCTGAGAGGGAGATCGCAATCATCTCAAACCACACTTCTCTGCCTGTTAATCACCATCTTATCTCTCTATGATTATTCCTCAGAATGGTCTGGGGAAGATGGCCTCTCCCTCACCTCTGACCATCTCTCAGAGATCAGCCTCTCTGACCTCTCTCGCTTTAGCTTTTGACCCTTTCACATTACTGCTCTTCTCCAGGTGATCAATGACCTGATTTTCTACAGTGGACACGGATCCTTCTTTCTTCTCCTAATTTATCTTCATGACAATGCTGATTATTTATTCTATCCTTCCTGAACCCTTCAGACAAGAAAACAGCTTCTTTGATGCTCTCTCTTCCTGCTTAGATTCCACCTCTGAAACCTTTTTCATTTCCTTCAGGCGTTACATCTCCCTTCATTCTTCACGGTTTAAGGCTCTGTGCCCTTGGCTTTGTTCTTTACTCCATCTATCTTCTTCTTTTAAGATGCCTCATTGCCATAAATGTTTCATCCTTGAGTGTCATTTTTATGCAGTTAATGTAACAGCTTTGCAATTCTTTGACTCAGGCTTGGTCTACATTACAAAGTTTTGCCAGCATAATTAAGTCAGCGAGCATTGCGAGAAAACCATGGCCTCAGAAGACATGTAGCTTGACAACACCTCCAATGGAGACATAACTACCCCAGCAGAAGTGCCTATGTCAGTTTGGTTAATTTTGTTTGCAGCTACGCGCTCTCACTTTCTTACATGGTTACTGAAATTCTTTGGACCCCTTCCCATGCACCGTTCTTAAGTTTCTCTTTCCAGAGCTGCACAATCAAATTCTCTCTACAAGGCTCACCTTTAAACAAAATTCTTTGATTTAATCTGTGACTGATGATGAATGATTGTACTTACTCCTATTGTCCTTGTTCTTATTTTGCTGTTATTAGTATATATTATATTATTGTTGTATTATATATTATATTGTTGTTGCTATTATATCTTATATTATTATACTTGCTCTTATTCCCTCACCTTTCCCCGTTCTTTCCCTGTTGCAAACTCACATAATGAGTTTGCAAGAATGCTTATTTATATCCCTGCTGCTTGTAAGTTCTATTTTCTTTAACTCATGTCCATCTTCACCTTTCTGATTCTGCCTTGCTATCTGTATGCACGTCATTTTATGCAGTTCTGTAAAGCATTATCTCATTATTCTGTCTCTTACTGTTGAATATTTTGTGAAACTGTGAAAGATGAGACATAAAAATAAATTGAATTGGTATACATGATACTAAGATCTTCGGAGAGAAGCAGTCCTGCAGTTAAACTGACTATATTCAGAATGCATATGTAATTTGACAGCTACTGGCAATATTTTCATGACATACTTGAAAAGGATTAATATACCGGAATTAAGTTTTAACTACTCTTGATATTCTAGCTTAGACATCAGATTCATGGGCACATCGCACTGGATTATTACTAACCAATCTGACAACAACAACAAAATGGAACAATTAGGAATTGTACTTTGTGGCAGGTTCAACCTTCAAGAGTTGAATGGGCTTTAGCGAAATTCTCGTGTGTCCTGCCCAACATACAGTGCCATCACCACCCTGCCCTAGTGAAAGTTGCCTGTAAAACCTGTATCTTTTTGTAAGATCAGAGCAGACTTATAGTGACTTACAGTGACTATTTCTAATAGAGAGAAATCTGTCTAATGGAAGTGTAAGGTTCCTAAACTGAAACATGTTGGGCTGACTGAAGAAGGACAACAACCAACGTAGTAGCAGAATAAGGGGAAAGTCACTTGGGATTCAGTTTTTCTTTTAAGGAAAGGTGAAAAGGATCTAGATATTGTAGAAACAACTTGACAAAGGAAAACATCAACATCAACAGTTGATATTAGACAGTAGCATGGTATTAGAAGAGTATCGTGATAGTCATTTCAAATGCTGTTGCAATGGTGTTCAGTCATACAAAATTTAGAATAGCATACTAACACAAGCCTGCAAATAATTACTACATGGATAATCTTGCAGTAGTAATTTTGGCAGGCTTGGGGTGATTGTTTCATTTAAAAACAAAACTGAAGAGCACACCAAAAGGAAACAGTCTTAATTCAATTAAATTTGGTCAAGAATACATCACATGCTCTTTGTACCAAGTCTATATTTTTCTAACTTTTCTTAAATACACAAAAGTAAAGATAAAATAAATAATTATTAATATTATAAATAGGCATGAGCTAACCACTGAAAAATAGAAAAAATAAACTCTGAAAATTGGATAACTCTTATTTCCTATAGTAAGTAAACTGTTAGGGTATTACCTCATTGACCACAGAACAAAATTACAATCTCACCATCGCTCTTGTGTAGGTTTTGTCTCTTCAACTGAAACAGAAAAAGACACAATAAGAAATTACTAGAGTATATTTTAAAATACGCTACATTTTGGAATGTAAAAATATTTTAAAATATTTAAAACAGATTGTCTGTGGAAGTGGTCTATGAAGCTTCAGTCTATCCACAAAGTATTTTGTGACTTTCAGATATTATGTTAGGTTGTTTTTTCCCCCATTAATAAAATAACAACACTTCACCTATCTACCTATCAGCCCTATGAGGAATAAAATGATTGTAATTCACAGATATAACAATATAATGATGTCTAACTTAAATACAGGAAAAAGAAAAACATTAATACATTCACTGTGTATTCTTTAATAGAAATATTGCATATACTATATACTTCCTCAGAGTCATCACATGGCCCTGCTGAGATGCCTTATATCATCTGTCCTGCAACCTTCCTCGTATAATAGAAACCACTGGACATGATTAAAAAAAATCCTTTTTAGACTTTAGTTTTTAAGATGCATAAACAGTTATGCACACCCATATCCCCCTACTCCTACACCCACATACACACACTACCTGTTTCAACATAATATTGGAGGGGAAAGATTTTTTTTTGTTAATGCCTGAAGTAACAAAACATTTTTAAATTGTCTAATAATACAGCAAGAATGTATCAGTGTGCAATAGCAGCAATGGAATTGATCTCATTTTTCCAATGAACCTCCACTTAGAATAAATGTAGCTCAACGAAATGTGGCACTTTATATCAAATCCCTATTTAGAAGGCATTTCATCACAAATCTGTAATATCATGATATGACATAATGAAAGATTTCAAACAGAAGAAATGTTTAAAAATAAAAAAGAAACAAAGAAAGAAAGATTAAACACGTGCTGGGGAGCACACACATTTTAGTCATATTTACAGCAATTATAAACCAGTTTTATACTTTAATGATCTAGTTTTAAATTAGAAGGAAGCATAAAACACATGCTATAAGCACCAATTTCATTTATTCCTCTAATAACTTGCAACCTGTTTCCACTTTATGTATGCTCACATAAATGTATTCAATTAGCATGAATTATGTATGCATGCCTGAATGTGCACGAACCCTTCTTAATGACTTGGGGTTATTGCAAATCTGAAATTCCCTGTATAGGTTATCCATAATATGTATGGAAGCAGCAGAACTTAATACCTGCACCTCTTCTATTTGTGTATACTTAAGCGTACTGTGGAGAAGCAATTTTGAATCTTCATTTGTACCACTTCAAATGTGTGGCCTTTCAGTTTGCCTAAGGTTGCATATCAACAAGATGAAATCTTATCTTCAGAGTGATGAGGAACACTCAAAGACTTGTTCTACCCACTGGAGTTTACATAACCATTCAACAGTTTACCATATAGAGAAGAATGATTTAGGGTAGAAGATAAGGACAGATGTTAATTTAGATTGAAACCTCCTCCCCAAATCACTATGTTGTTTGGACAAACTATATTAAAATAGGTTTGATCTTCATAAATAAAGTGTGGCAAATTACAATCTATACATTACAGACGTAATAAAATATTTTGAATTCCTAAAGCTTGGATTCTTTCATTTTCTTGCCTGAGTGCTGAAACCAGGAACCTTATTTTTTTAAATCTTCATTTAAATAAATATGTAAGAAGCATTATGCTGAATTCTTGTACAACACACTTTACTTCCAATTACACATATTGTCTAATAAAACTACTCATGCCTTACAGTATTCTACTCTCCATGAATGGGGGTAGTAAATTTTGTCCTAGATAACAACTAAAAAAACTACATTTTATACTACTTTATCTAGCCAGAGATTTTCAATTTTTTTTTAATCCAACATTTTTTTAAAAATTAAAAATTTACAACATAAGGGAAAAATCTCACAAGATACTGTAGAAACATCAGCAGATTACACTACTATAGGAGTAACTAACTAAATAACTTATCTAAATCTCAGCTCTAGACTGAAAGTTTGACTAAGGACTCAGGTCAAAATTTGGGAGGAAACCTTCCCAGTAGTTTCATTAGTAAAATATTCTCTGTGGGAAGTATGTGGTTTAGAGATTATGAAAATAAGGTACAGAAGGGCAGACTATACCATCCTGCTACTATTTTCCTACTATTTTATTTCTAGGAAACACTAAACATAGCAATTCTGAAAATAACTCTGCAGTCTGATAGCCCGTCCATTACCCATGACATTACCCAAGGATGAATATTTTTGCTAGCCCAAAAAATATAAACTATAATAAGATGCCATTTTTTTTAAAAAAAGGAACCCTCTTCTTCCCCCCCAAACAGCAAACCTATTATCTGTGCATTGGAAATGTCTGCATACTTGTCAAATATATCAGATTCAGTGTTAATGGGCTTTTTTATGTTCTACATCTGTATGCATTTTAATACTTGATTTCTCTACCAATCAAGTAGCACCTCACGTTTGATGTTATTCTAATATTTAATAGCACAATCCCTCTGTGGAAATGGAAGTTGGGGTGAGGGACTTTAAGAGCAATTCATGCTACTTTTGAGTACTGTGGTGAACTGTGCTTTCAAAATCTGGAGCTTAAATTATCCCACAACCTGAAAAACAGACACAAAAGGACAAAGCCTCTTCCCAGCTAGCTGTTATGATGTTTCAATTAACTGACAAACATGCTAGCAGGTCAGTATCAGATTGGACAGGGTCTCTCTCCCCAACTGATGTCTATTTTTTGTCACTGCAAAATCTAGATTAATGACCTACAAATTAACTGAATTAAATGGTAGCAAGAAACTAGTAAAAAGTTAACCCTGACATTGCCTGTTCTTTGGAGAAAGGCTGATTCTTCACATTTCCATAAAAAAAAACACATTATCAAAATGCCTCATAATATCACCAGCAAAAAAAGTGTGTCCTGTTCATGAGAAGATAGCAAGTGCCACCCTGAATTACTGTATATCCATCTATCCCAGTATTTTATCTCCAAGAATGGCCAGTGTCAGATGCTTGAGATGCACATAATTGTATGTGTATAATTATATGGGATAATCTGCCTCTGGCATTAAGTTCCATGCTCTCTGTTAGAGCTGGAGACTGACTTACTGGACTAGTCAAAGGTTTCTTCTAGAGCTGAGATTTAGATAGGATTGCCTGTCCAGCCCTCCTTGTTCTTTTACTGCAGCTGCAAGAAGTTAAACATCATGTGCTGTGACGTAAGTGCTCAGAACTTTGCATTTTCATTCCTTACCTCAGCTTCACCTTCTTTTTGTCTTTTATTTTGTACATTTGGGTCCACATTTCCTGTTGGTTTAAATAGGTGAAACCCCAATAAAGTGAACAAAACTGTCTGCATTTACACCAGATGAGCATCTGATCCATAACCTTTTCTATGTCCTACTTAGCTCTAGGAATCTTTCTCTGGCACCCTTACTTTGGGAAAAGCAGTGGGGAAGAAGAAAATGAGAAAGGGCAACATATATCTACAAGGCAGCAACACCTAAAATTGCTTCAGCTAACATTGCCAACATTTCCATCTATTCAATGCATTCCTCCCAAAGGAGAATAAAGGAGCTAAACGAAACTGCTTAGTAGGAAGCCACTGGATGTCCATTAACAATCATTCTAGTGATGAAGATAAAGTGAGTCGCTGGCAAAATACTCCCTGTATAAATCTAAAAAACAACATTAAAAGTTATCTAAGAAATGGACAGTTAAATAGATTGTTTCACACTGAGAATCAGCAGCACAGGACCTAAATGCATTCTGTAGAAGCAAGTTTAGAAAAAAACACAAAAACATGCCTTTGATTTAAACCATCGCTAAGGAGATTGCCCAGTCAAAGTCTGTATAACGCCACAGAGAATGGATTTTTGCACAAAAGCCACAGAGATGCAAGAAAATAACATTAAAAAAAGAACTTTTGATTCAGAATTCAAAGAATCTTTAGAAGAGCAGAGAAGTTAAGGACAGATCGGTTTCTGCAGGCACTACTTGTTATATAGGATAACGGAACAGAAAAGGCACTTGGTAACTGAAAAAGGGTTGACTTGAGAATGGGATAAACGTGCAAAAATTCTGGGGCAGGGGGGCACGTATTCAGTTGGTACAGAAGAGCCAACCTCACCTCCGTCTTCCCCGCCCCCATAGTCCATGGAGCTAAGATTATTTATAATGGAGACCCAAGCTTGCAAGAAAAACTTTTCTGGAGGGCCAAATTATATTAGGCAGGCACCAAAATGGATTTAGACACCTAAGTGTTGTCTATTTTTCACAACACACCTTCAGGTTGTCCTTAAGACCAAGTCACAAAAAACAGAGAGGAGGAAAAGGACCTACACACCTTTTGCATCAGTTGCTTTTCAAGGACTCAAGTAGGGCTGTGCAAAGCTTCGGGTGGTGATTCGATTGGGAGGAGATTTGGTCCGATTTGGTGGCCAAATCTCTGAATCGAATCAGGGGAGCAAATTAAAGGTCTGAATCGATTCAAAGCTCTCTGAATCTTCATCAAAGATTTGGAGAGCTTTGATGATTTGGGCAGTCCCCGGTGGCTGCAGCAGGGAGTTGCAGCTGACTCCGAGCTGGTAAGTACTAGGGCAGGGGAAGGGGGCTGGAGGAGGGGGCCAAGGGGGGTGAATCTGGGGGTTTTCTCTGTTTTTTTTTTCTTAAAGGGCCGGAGCTGGCCCAGGCGGGGCACCAATGGGGGGCCTGGAGGAGGAAGGGAGGGGTCGGGGGGGGCTCATGCAAAGCCCCCCCCTTGCAGCATGGGGCAGTGGGGATCACCCTCTGCCTGACGGCACCCACTGAGTCAGGCCTTTTTTTTAACAAGTGCCGGGAGTTGGGGCGGGTAGGGCAGCCATTGCCAGGCTGGGAGAGCGGGCGGGAGAAGGACCTGGTCTGGCTGATTTGGAGATCTGGATCTGACTGGATCTCCAAATCAGATTCAGCCAAATCAAATTGGAACTGTGATTCGGAATCACCGAATCGAATCACTGTCCCCCGAATCAGCCAAATCAAAATCCG